TATTTGGTCCCAGAGGAGATCCTTTAAGAAATTTTTAAAGCATCTGGTAGTTATCACTAGGACTCTCCAAGCTGAAAAACATAAACAATTTCTTATATATCAACTCAAGTCATTTTGTTGTTGTTTTCACTGACTCTCAAAAAGGCCTACTTGGGTTTAATTTATACTCCCTCCTTTCTAATATGTTTGCACAATAGAACTTGGAAATGGTGCAGCTGTAAGAATCCCAGAGCCAGTTCCATCCAGATCAGTAAATTCCTTTAGGAACCCAGATCACCATTACATTTGTATGGATGAATTCTTGAATTAATTTAGTAATTGTCATTATTACATCATAGGCATCATTATATGGACATTGGCTCTAACTGAGGGGCACTGAGCGCTCGCAAAGTGTAAAGGAGTACACTAAAAGAAGTCTGACCATGCGTACTCACAAAGGCAAAGAAAGCAGACTCTTGGTATAGAAGATCTTTAATAGAACTGATGTGCAAAGAGAGAGAGAGAGAGGGAAGAAAGATTTCAAATATCAGAGTCCCAATAAAACTCTGAAAATGATCTATTCCCCTTATGAGCAAATTCCCAGCTAAATAGACAAAACCCAAAGTGGTGTGACTGAGACCCAAATGCTTGTCACAAGTCTAAAGTACCTTCTGAAGGTGAAACTTAAGAAAAGGGTTAGGCAGTCCCCAGTGAGCTGGCACTGAAGGAAAGACCTAAAATTCAAAATATCACAAATAATCTACCACAAGGTCAAGATAACGGCTGCCAAGTCTCTGTCTATTTCTGCTAAGGACCAGGAGCAACCTCCCCATATCTCTCTCCCATATGTCTCCTTCAAGTGTCTCTCCAGCTGTTCTCCTTTTCCTTCCACCTCCAATATATGTCTACTCCTCCTTCCCAGCTGCTGCCCAGCATGCCATGCTGGGAATTGTAGTCCAAGGCGGCTGCAAGGAAGTGGGCATGGGTAATATGGCTCACATTTACTGTGCTAATATTTTTCCTCCTGTCATGAGATGTATCTGTAATAAATCCACTTTGTTAGCCCTGGTATGAACCATGGATAGGAAACCTGACATGATTTCATATCCCAGATATATTAGAGGCATCAGGAAAAGAAGAAGCAACAGCCTGATTAAATGTTATTTGTAGGACAGGACACTTGGGCAATATGAACCTCCCCAGTCTGAATCAAATGCAACATAGCTCATTGGAAGTGTTTTTGTGCTAGTTATTATGATCTGTCTACCCAGAAAGAAAATTAATCAGGTTAATCTTGAAAGTAATCAAGGATCAGAAATGTGGTAATCTTTCCTTATTAGGTGGTGAGATGGGAAGATCTTTGACCAGATGCCAAGCCCTAATATTCTTGATATTCCTGACCCTCATTTCCTGTGGTAAAGAATAGATGGACAGGCATGCCACTTCAGTAATTGTTCTCTCTTTATCCTTTGAGATTTCTGTTCTCAGAGCTTCCTGTTGAACTCTCAAAAATGACTATCTAGAATGGACCAGAATGAGCCAAGAGGGGTTGTTTTTAGAGTAAGGGACTGAGTGTCATACAATTCCCTCTTTAGTCTGGAGTTATTATATTATCTTGACTCTTGAGACTTAGCAATTCCATGAAGGTCTGAACTCCTAGGGGAAAAAAAGCATAAAAAGAAAAATACCTTGACCCAATTTCGATTTTTTTTCCTCACTATAATTAAGCTTTGCCTTCAATATGATGGTCCACTTGTGTCCTTTGTCCTAAATAGCCATTCCAGTACCATGAGCAGTAGTATGAAGTAGGAAGATATAGAGCTCCTCCCTCCTAAAGTTGAGTGACGATTGCCACTACCTTAGAAAGTAAAATCTTTATACCCTTTTAAAATACACCCAGACATCTAGTAGCATCCTATTACATAAGTGCACATTAAATGTGATCTAACTAATTAATGTGCTTATTAATCTTCCATCCAACATGCATGGAGGCTAATAATTTAGAATGACTGTAACTTAAATTAGATTGATTTGATGTTGATCACAGGATCATTTGATTTAAAAATTGGAAGAAGCATTTGACATGACTTAGTTCAACCATCTCATTGTAGAGATTAGGAAACTAAGATGAACTAAAAAGGTTAAGTAAGTTGCCAAAACCTTATATTTGGACAACAGCCAGAATGTGAAACCAGGTCTCCTCACTCTCCATTCTGTATGCACTCAGTACTGACTCGGATTGATGCTTTGTTGTATTATACTGTGAGTAATTGTTTTAACATGCTTGGCTTACCCACTTGACCACATGCTCTTTAAGAAAATATTCATCTCCAGCTTCTAATACAGTCAGCGGCACATAATAGGATCCCAATAAATGTTGAAAAAATGAATAAATGGGTGACTAGTGAGATCTGTTTTTTTTTTCCTCAACATATACAAATAAATGCTGTAATTTTTATCAATCTCCTAATGTTTGGTCTGCCTAATTGAAGAAGGATAGGATAGAAAGCTAGAAAAAAGTAGGATAAGCAGGCAAGGAGAGGAAAATCAGGTATACAATTGAGTAAGAAGAATAACCAGAAAATCTCAGTGCATAGACAAAGTTTCTAGAATCAGTTTGGGAGATTTTTGTCAAGACTCTTGCCTCTTTTGATCTTTCCCAATTTTCAAATAAGGACTTTTTAAGCAGATGGTACTTTAAGCAGTTCCCATCATTGCTGTGCCTCCTCAGACCCAGGAATGCAGGATTGACTGCAGGTTGAGTTGTATAATAAGCATAGTTGCTCTTTACTGGATTTCACTTCCCTGTACATCTTCCCACCCATTTGGCACCCATTCCTAACCCATGCTGCTGCTACTGTTCCTATCACAGAGGAAAGTGCATGTAACTCAATGTGATCCTCTTTCTGGAATATTTTCCATTTAAAAGACACACCAGGAGAAACACAGGAAGGCTGCTTACACTGTGGCATTTCAGATTCAATGACAAGCAAGCAGAGGGGACAGATACATGTGGACTGCCTTTGTCTCTCTTTGCACATCATCCAAAGTCACTGAAATAAAGGCTAAAAAACAGTTACTCGACCCCACTGTGAGTTTTTGTTCCTCCTGAAATGCTTACCATTGTAAGTAATTTGATATTAAGCAGTGCCTGTTTAAAAAAAAGAATCAAAAGATTCGGGTTCCTAAATATAGCACACTGATGGCTTGGTTCTAGAGGACTGCTTCAGTAGGATTGGACATCGGCGGGGCAATGACTGGCTGGAGGGTCGTGTCCAGATAGGGATTATCAGTGTCTAAGTGTCACTTTGGAGAAGAGCTGGCTGTGCTTACTTGCCAAGAAATCTAGATGGAATGTGGGAAACTTAGCCTGTTTTAGAAATGGTGCTACATAGTCACCAGACAACCTGAGGTGACCCAAATGCCCCTATAGGGAGAGTTTTAAGGAGGTAGGCAGTCTTCTGTTTTAGGTAGATTGGGTCACCTTTGTCAAAGACAAGTATAAAAACCCAACTTTTCCTCAAATATCTCCCTGGACCATTTAGAATTTACCAGACTCCTCCAATCAGCACTCTGCCTAATTACAACAGCCACTCTCCATCTTCATTGACTGCTTTTCCTCTCCTCCTTACATATACCAGATATTTCCATATCTGTGATTTTGCCTTAATGTTTCCTCTTCTTGAAAGACTTTTCTTTCATGTAGTCAGTGGAACTAGTGTCATCTGTTGCCTATCACCAGAAGTAAAAGTCTGGACCCTTGTCTCATTGCATCATGGCAAACACATCAAGGAAAACACACCGGTCAAGCATTGGATGGAACATTTCACTCACATGAAGAGACAGAGAAAGATAACCCTAATAACAGGCATCAGTTCCTCATGGCCAGTGGGCCCTTCCCAACAGCTGATGCATGGCCATTGGCCTGATTGAAACTCTTTTGTGCCACGGAACAAAGAACCCATTCCCCTCTTTACAGGAGACAGATATAGCAGCAAGGTTGACCAGATGCCAAAAGGCATACATGCTCAAGCATACCAAAAGAGCATGCAGTAAATCTAAAATAAGGCAACATACTCCCACACAAGGTGGCACCTCTAGCACAGGTGTTAAGAGCCCATGATCACTTGTGTAGGAAGTGCCCCAGCCTCAAGGCCCATTGTTAATGCGGCTGAAACAGGTAAAAGGATGGCACATATGAGGCTGCCTTTCCCAACATAAACCACATGGCTTCTTTCCCTGGCTATCCTCCCCATATATTCCCCCCAAATCTTTGCTTCTATTATCAAGGGCCTTCACTAATCAAGCTTTATAACATAATCACCTCTAAATCTAACTCTCAGCCTCCATGAAGACAACAGCTTTGGTTGTTTAGTTAACTGCTGTATCCCATCTACAGCAATGATGGGCTCATAGTAGGTATACTATAAAAAAGTATTGAAGAGGTTGGCAACATAGGTCTGTAAGAAGAAAAGTCTTGTCTCGTAATGCCTAGAAAGCAATGAAAGAAAACTTTTCAGGAGTTTCCATAGGCCAAGTCAGTCACCTATATGGCATCCAATTTTCACTTAGAAACCCAGAAACTCTGGAGAAAGTGATATGTCCAGGTAAGTGAGATAAAACCATTATCATTCAGTTTCCATCAGAGCTCCAAGCAATTTTTGGAAACCTGTCCTCTGATACATAGCACTAATTTGTGTCTTACAGAAAATCAAAAAAAATTATTTTTCACCTGAAGGGAGCAGGATTATTTGACTTCAGATATTTGCCATATGGCTTCTCTTCCATACAACATTGCTTCTAGGCTTAAGGTAGTAAGAATCAGAGCATGCCTATAAATTATTCAGAGATAATTCAAAATAAGTGTGTAACTTAGACAGATTGTCATTTCTTAATGCTTTTTTCTGATAACAAGTGCTATGTTCTTGACAAAAGTGTCATTTCTCACCACACTTTATTGCTCTGTGTATTTTTTCTGTGTTTTTTTTTTGTTGTTGTTGTTGTTGGTTTTCCCCCCACAGAGTCCAGTCTGGCTCTTATCTCAGCACGGGGTGGTTTACCTTCATTCTGGCCATGGATGCCTGTTACAGCATTCACGTCTATGGGATGATAAATGACACCTACTGCAAGTAAGATTACAGGAAATTATTTTTATGCATCTCCTATTCTGATATGTTGTCAAAATATCACAATTCATTTTACTATCATAAATCTGAGAAACAGATAAAGCAACAATTATTTCCTGGGGTTCTTTGCTGACATGACATTTTATTGTCAGTGCGTCAAGTTGTGAGTTTTAAGGGTGATAAAAAGAAAAATATTTACCACAATCTAATGTCAAATGCCAGAAGAAACATTTTCCCTTTAATCAGTGGCTTATCAGGGACTGTGGCTTGGAAATCCAGAGCAAGTTCAGTGGTTATTTAATTTGCAAAGCAAGTTTGTCATCTCTGCTCCTCTAATGACTTGATAGATGGTTGTCTGCTCAACGCTCAATGGTTATATCTGATCATGAAATACAAAATGTCCTAAAACCTCAGAGAAACTGACAACAAAATTACATTTTACTAATAAGTGAGTAATCTCCCAGATCCTTATTTAAAATGGGTATGTTAATCCACAATACTGTGGATTAACCTTTCTCGTAGAATAGGTTCTAATTAGATAATAAAACAAATCCTCCATGCTTTATCAAGGTAATTGAGAATATTTCCCTACCAACAACTGACACAAAATAATTCATAGTGTTTCAATCATATTGTCAGAATGGTAACTAAGTCATAATTTTCATGATGAAATATTTCTACCCTAAGTATAAGCATAATGGAGTACAATGAATCAAAAAATTTTTTAAGGTTTATATATTTATTAAAGAGCTGGAGTATAGGCCAGAGGCGTGGGAGGGTGAGAGGATTCACCAGAAACAGAGTGGGAGCAGAACAGGCAGATCTACTGAAATACACTGCTGAGAGGAGAAGCAGGCAGAACAGGAGAGGTCTGCCATGCCATGTGGGTATCTCCCTGGCTGGCTGGGACTCAAAACCGCACTGCAGAGTCTGAGGACAGCTTCAAACGCTGTGCTCAACCCGCTGTGCCACTGGGGTGGCCCTGAATCAAATATTTTACTCTTGAAAAATCACAAACCTTCTTCAAGCTCTACAGGAGCATCAGGCTATCCAAAGTTTGCTTTCATTATATACTATTTCCTCCTTTAAAGGATAGCTATATTGTTTTATATGTTTGAATGTAATTGGTGTGATATGTACATTTTGTTTGATTTATTAAAGTATTAAGGACCTGATACATTTTCCTAAAAGCTTTTATATATAATAGCTTTTAACTGAGTCCATGGATAAGAATCATGCATGGGTTTGCAAGTGAATGCATTTACTGGGCACATAATGGATTCTTGTAAATGAATGCTTCATTCTTCATCTCAATCATCTTCTTTTTTTTTCTTTTCTAGGACAGAAGGGCATAGAAAAGTTCCCTACCATTACTATGAACAAGGAAGAGATGAGTGTGATGAATATTTTCTTCATGAACATGCCCCATATGGGGGCCATAGGTTTATCACTGAAAAGAAAGTGTTTGCTAACTGGGCCAAGAAACACAGAATAATATTTACACACCCAAACTGGACAGTGTCTTGATATTGGTTTTCTGACCTTGCCATACCACTTGACATGATTATGATACTTCAACTGTGATGCTAAGGATGATGATGATGATGGTGATGATTACATGAACAATGATGATCAAGTTTCTGTACATTTTCAGATATGGGTGGTGACTCTGCCAGTAATTTGAACTTGGGATCCATGGAGGGTGGTTGTGCTCATTATATTCTTTCTGAAGGGTCAATACTACATACTGCACTTTATAATTTAACTGGAATTAAATGAAGGCCAGTAACTGGGCAGCAGTGACTTAAGAAACGGAAAGATTATCCTTAAAGATAGCTGCCAAGAATTCTTGAACAGGAAGGATCTTTCAAAAGCTATGGAATAAGGCCTCCTACGGCAAGGTTATTAACTCCAGGGGCTCACAAACCTGAGCAGCTCTATTATCTTGAAGAATGATTAATTGTTAAACATTGACCCCAGAAATGCAATCGGGGTGCAAGTATCTTACCATAGTTCCCAGTTAGTCTGCGGACAGGTAAGACTCTCCTCCTGACCATTTTTCTACAGTAATTTCTCCAGCTAAAGCCTCAGGCCATTACCCAATTAACAACAAAGATATCTTGGATATCCCTCCCATCAGGATTACTCGATTATCTCATATATTTAATTCAAAATGGGCCAAATAGCAAATCTTGATGAATTTCCACTCTTACCGCTCCATTCTCGCTACCCCAAACAATGTAACTAAACATGTTAATAGAATGATCTATGTTAATGTTTAGTTATGTTGAGCCCAAAACATTTCAGAAGGCTAGTAACATGTAAGATACCAACACTGTAATAACAGATACTGTGAAAACATTCTTAAAACATCACCAAAAGGGTTTGCTAACTCTTCAACATCCAACAACACAAACATATATGCTTTTTAAAATCATGAAACAGGGAAAGCAAAGCATATTTTTACATCACTTTATAACTTACCATACTTCATAATATATATTTGTATATTCAAATTTCTATTTTATAGGCCTAATTATGTCTCTCCATACATTACATTATCTTTGCCAAGTGCCAACTCTTAGACATGGAGAGGATATGATTCCTTGTATTTAATCTAATCAGAGTTTTTGCCTTCTTGGGGTTTATTTTCCCCATAGTGTACCACTTGTTATACCATATTGGCAACAGTAATGACCTTAATGTCCAAAGTGCTTTGTCATTTGGGGTCCTTTCACAGATATTATCCCATGTGATGCCCAAGACCATTCCATTGGACTATTGCCTACACCTTCTGATATTTCCTCAGCAATGATGTGTAGTTTGTTAATTGTTCTAATATATTCCATATTACTCCTCTTGCTAATATTTTCATAGAATAGCATTTATGTATAATTGTAACCAATTGATTTCAGTGCCAAATACATTACATCTGAATTATGCAAAAAGTATCACAAGGATGTACTGGACCATAGACTAGCACCCTTGTGAACACAGGTACTTTTAATTATTTTTAATGACTATTTAGATGGGGAAAGCATGAGATAGCAGGCACAACAGGAAGAAATGAAAGCAGAAAAATAGTTTCCTGTCCCCATCATAATATGATTCTGTTTTCCCTATCGATCACTAAATTTGAGAGGGTTAATTTGCTGAGAAAGTAGCTCAGAGACCAAAAAACATCTTTGCAAATGATTCAAAAGTCAGGCTTAATTTACAAAATATTCAGGAGGCTGGAAGTAATGTAATGATGCATTTCACCTCGGGGGTACTGTGGGTCTTTAGCAGTGCTAAAGGTCCTGTGCTTAGTTATCATTATTATGGGCCATCTTAGGCAAATGCCTCTTTCCAGCTCTCTTCTTTGTACCCCAGTACTCAAATTGATAAAAATAACAAAGTGCCACTTCTATCACTAGAACTGTTATTGTTGCTATTCTTTTGTTTCCTTGTGTGATTTTCAGTTCTGTGTATGTTAGTTTTTTCAAGCTAATGATGAATAGAAATGCCCAATCAAAGAAAATAAACAGATACAAATGTTAAAATTGTAATGCAGACTGTTTCCTCCCCTGTTGTGATATAGAAGTCTACTTTTAAATAAAAAGGAACCCTTGATTATCAAAATGCTTCAGGGAATGGCATCATTTATTTAGTATTCTAGTAAATGGAGGACCAACTCTGTTTGTTTTAACCCTTAACAATGACAAGATTTTGATAAATTCTTTGTTCTCCTGCTTCTTTATAGCTTCTTCCACGGAGATTTTTGAGGTGCCCTGTATTCCTCACTTTATGACAGTAATATGAGCAGAATAGTCAGTGCTTCCTCTGGAAGAGAGGGGGTTTCCTTCCCTCATCTCCCCTCAACTCTTTTTCCCTTCTCTTCCCTTCCTTTTATCTTAACTAAATCTCTATACTTTTTATTGTTGTTGTCTCTTGTCTCTTTTTTTTCCTAAAAGTGGGAAACAAAAGCACATGATTCTCAATTTGGAAACCTAATTGAATGATCTTCAGTGTAATCAGCACTTTGATAGAATCACATGGCTGACTTTTCTCTGCAGTCAATTTTCTCTAGTTCCATGTCCTGTTCTTTTTTACTCTCAGCCTCCTAATTCTAGTTGAAGTACAAAGTCTAATTTTTCCCATATTGAGGAGAAATTTTACATCTAAGATTTGCTGATAGAGAAAGCATGTCTAAAGAGCAAATTCCTGGAAACTAAATTGTCATGCAGATTTCTGGTGAATTCCACTGGTTCCAGCCAACTGAAAGAAATTTCACCCACCATGTAAACACTGCAAAGTTTAACTGCACTTGCTTATCACTGATGTATACATATCCCAAAAGTTAATTAACATCTATGAAAAATATTTCTGTGCCATCCAAGGCTTTAGGCAAATGGACTGCAGAAAATGGCCACCGTTTGCTGAAATAAGTATAAGAAACAGAATCTAGGGCCTCCCCGGTGGTGCAGCAGTTGCGCGCTGGGCTGCGAAGCTGCCCGCAGCCTCTGCAGCACAGGTTCGATCCCGGGCTGCCGGGCAAGGGTCCTACATGGTGCGCAGACCTCTCCTGCCGCCCACTGCTCCCCTCAGCAGTGTACTTCGGTCCTTCTGCCTGTTCTGCTCCCCGCTCTGGCTCTGGTAAATTCTCTCACCCTCCTGCGCTTCTGACTGTACCCAGTGCTTATATAAATAAATAAATAAATCTTTAAAAAAAAAAAAAAAAAAAAAAGAATCTAAAAATAATAAATGCTTTAAATTCTGTGAAAACCTAGAAAAAGTATGGACATTTTAAAAGGGTTTTTAAATGAATATTCGAATCCTGAATTCATCTAATGGTAAGTCCTAATGATTTCTATTGTTATGATGGATTACTATGTTATCACTTGAATAGGAAAACTTTCAGAATGTGTGACGTCACAAACTTATCAAAAAATTAATTTGGGGGATGTTCATATATATGTATAGAGTACATTTGTGTGTGTGAATAATGGCATATGTGCCATTATTGTATGTTTTACGGTATGTATGAATCAGTATATATTCATTCAAAAAAAACGTATTTTAGACTTCATCTGAAACCTTTTAGTTTATATTTTGAATGCTGATGAAAAAAGAAAGCAAAAGTCCAAATTAAATGCATTGATTACTCGAAGTGCATAAAATCATTCAGTGGCAAGTCAGTCTGAAGAAGAATGCTAGAGAAACTGCTAAATCCAGAACTGAGAACACAATTAGGTGTCAGCAGTTGTCAGAAATCAGACCGGTAAGTATAGCAATCTGTATCGTAGTCTCTGGCAAGATTGCAGCTCAACTAAAGTCACGTTGAAAAACATCACATCAAGCTTCATTCACACTGAAATGAATGAACATTGGTCCCCTTATTCAAATGAGCCTGTCTTTAGCTTAAGCAAATGCACATTTGCATGATTTTTATTATATGGTTAGAGAACTGTGACCATTGTGAAAAAAGAAAATTATATAAGGAGATTGCTCTTTGAGGATTTGGAATGAGTCAGCCAATGTGGGAGCAAGAGTCTGAATTGGGCACTTTACTGACCTTTCTACAGGAATAAAGCTAGCAGAAGAGAATTACTTCTTACATTACCTCAGAGAAAAGACAACACTTAAGTATTTCACCTGGTGGTGTTAATTGGGTGTTAATTGTGAGCTTGCTTTAAATTTAATAAGCAAGGAAACACAATCAGATAGTTACCTTTTTTTTTAACAACATACAATGTTTAATGTGGCATGTCAAATACAAAGAACAAACTACGTTGTCCAGTGTCACATGTTTATGTCTTAGCACATGATTTGCAGTTCCCAGGTGATGAGGGGAAAAATGCTTTTCCCTTACCTTCATTTTTATTTATTTTTTATTTTTTTAATTTAAATTTTATTTTTATATTCCCCATATAATTTCAACCCCCTTATTTTTTACCCCAAGCCCTCCTTTCCCCGCCCCCCGCCCCCCACCCCCACCCCATCCCCCATAGAGTGTCTCTTGTTTATAGTTATTTGTTGATTTTGATATTTTCCTTCTTATAGTTATTCTTTTTCCTGGTCCCTTATTTAAGTTTTCTAGATTCCTGCTATGAGTGAGACCATCATCATTTTAATAGCATTAATAGATGGTGTTAGTGAAGAGCAGTGCCAGCCTTTGTAATTAATCTAGACTGTTACACTTGCCAGGGACTTTGGTGACCAGGCCACCCAACCCCTGCATTTTTTTTTTAAGATTTATTTATTTATTTATACAAGCATTGGGTACAGTCAGAAGCGCTGGGAGGGTGAGAGAATTCACCAGAGGCGCCACGTGGGACCCTCGCAGGTGGCCGGGGATCAAACCGGCACTGCAGAGACTGCGGGCAGCTTGCAGTCCAGCGCTCAACCGCTGCGCCACCAGGGGAGGCCCCCAACCCCTGCATTTTGAAGTTCACCCAATAGGGGTGAAGTGACGTACAAGTGACTGTAAAAAAGATGAATGACAGTATCAAGACTCACATTCTATCTCATCTCTCCTTCTGTAAGATTTTCCCACTATTTCTTAAGATTAGAACAGTAATTCATTAGAAAAATGAATCAGTGACTTACTGAAAGACTCTAATCCGGAGAAGCAAAGGCTCCAATTTGTGTTGGTTCTAATAATGACCAGAGAGATCCACACACTGTATGTAAAAATGTGCATATACTTGAAGGAACATCTCCCAGTAATTGTCTATATTCTCTATTATCTACATTTATTGCAAAGACTACACCATGTTCCATTATCATAAAACTCCAGGGCTAATATAAAGAAGTTTATTTCTTCTTTCCTTAGGTTGTTGAGTATGGAGGTTGTGTCTTGTAACTGGCAGGTCCGATTGCTGAATTTTCCCCAGAACCTTTGTGTCCTCATTCTCCAGGCATTCAGCTGAATGAGTTAGTGAACTAATCTCACTAGCTGGTGAAATGCTACCCCTTGGTTTCACCCTCATCTCTATAATGCACATAATCTTTTAACCCAGATATCATTCTTAAAGGTAAATCAAAGTCCCAAAAGCCACACAAGCTTTAATCACCACACAAGATTGAAAGGGATTTTTCTCTACAGTTTACCTATATGAAAGTTAGAAGAGGAGAATTTTGAAAATATATGCACCAGGCGCTGAAAATGGTTCCTGTGGCACAGAGATAACATATTGTTCTGTTGCTTGTTTTTGCTGAACCTTAGAGAAACCACTAGAGTAAAATTCCATGTAAATTGCTAAGGCATCAAACCAGAACTGTCCTTGGGCATTGTAACATTGCAGAAAAACTCATTTAGTTTTTTTTCAAGTTCTTTTTTTTTTCCTTTTCAGAATAGGCACAATTTGTTTTTGGAGTAAAAAGCTCTTCTTTCTCCACGGATATGTCTCTCTTTTTCATACCTTAGAGACTTCAGAAAAATAGAAGCTCACTTTCATAAAACTGAAGAACATCTTAACAAATAGTCAATGACTAAATTCATATATTTGCCTATACAGTGAGTATTTTTTTCTAAGAAATTCCAAAAGGACCCAAACCGGGCTTTTCATGATTCCTTGTTACAAAACCTACAAAATACTAGTTTCCTTGTGTTTAACTTTGTTGTCATGCTCCTGGATAAATATTCATTTCTATTACATACAGTATTTTTATGCTTCACTCATTTTTTTAAGTTCACACAATTTTTTCTGTAGTCTTTCATTCATGTTAAAAACCTGTAATTTTCATCTATTTATAGAAGAGACAATAAATGCACAGTTGTGCATTTGGTGAGGTGGTGGTGTGTTTCCCTGGCATCATGTTGCTCTATTTATAGTCACTGTGCCTAGAGCTTTCTAAGTGGCAAATGGATGCTGCTGGATTTTTGTTTGGCTTGCTTTTACAATAAGACAAGTAAGGAGAGGTGAGCAAAGTATTTGTCACTGAAAGAAAAAAGTGAGGCAGGGTGGAAGTGGGATAGAGCAGGAAAGGTATTCAATATACTCTATACACAAAGAGAAAGATGTATGGGTGACTACTTGCAGATCATGACAAGAGGAAATGTGAACCAGTCTCTGGGTTTTGTTTGTTACATTAACTGTAAGATTCTGCAGTGAATTTCCTCCCTTTGCTGTGTCAGACCTATTAGCAGAGTTGGATTAGTATATAAACTGCTAAAATGCTGAAGTCTTTGTTCTTTTCTCTCTCCTTCTTTACCTCTGCCTTTTCCTCCCTCCACTTCTCCTTACTTTCTTTCAAGGAAACTAGCATTCTTGCAATTGTCCATCACATTTGGATAGTTTCTCATTTTACGAATCAGCTTACAGTACTTTACAAGTTAAAGGAGGTCCTTATTTGGATATGATCTGAAAATGATGGTCTTCCTTGGAAATAATGTAATAACTTATAAACCAGGTTTCTTTAATTATTTTAATTATTTTAATACAATCCTTTAGAGCTGTGTAGCTCATTCAGTCCCTCAAATACTCTGTGAGGTGCATAATATTATTACCACTTCACATATAAGGAAAATGACACACATAGAGGTAAAGTAACTTGTCCAAGTTTACATACCAAGTGATGGAATGAGGTTCTAAACTCAGATAATTTGACCCAGAGTCTATACCTAGCTAGATCAGGCTACTGGATGTAATCAAT